CATCATTTCATTAGAGATCACCAACAAAAAGGGAATATTTGCATTGAGAGTGTGGGCACCAAAGATCAACTTGCCAATATATTCACAAAGCCATTGGTTGAGAAAAGGTTTTGTAAGCTAAGGAATGAGTTGAACATATTAAATTTCTCAAATATGTGTTGATGCACCCCCACTTATATAACATGCCTCTCCTTCGAGCAACCAATGTAAAAGTTGATTGGCATGGCATACATCCTTACTAAGGACATGTTTAATGCATCTAGTCATTTCTCATATCTTTTAGGCTCATTAATAAAAATCAAATGAATTTGATGCTTGTATGGTACCACTATTGCTTCTATACTTGACTTGATCTAGTGGTAGCATATGACATGTTTGTGGGCTTGTGAACCTAGTGTTTGATCTGGAAAATGAGTTACAAGTGTTTAACTCAACATGGTACAAGATAACCCTTATTTGGAGGTGTGAAGAAGCTTGTCCTTGGATCAAACCGAGTTAAATATATTTGACAAGTGTTCTAGATTGGACCAATTTTAGAAAAATGATCCTCACCCCATTGATTGACATTGATAATCTTAACCTATCTAAAATTGAATCTTTGTGGTTATTGATGACAAATGAGGAGAACTTACACAAAGATAAGGTTAAATGACAAAGGGGGAGAACTTTGACATAGGGGGGGAGTGATATGAGAAAGTAAGGGGATCAATTAACATAGGGGAGTGCTATGAGAAAGTAAGGGGATTAATTAAAATTTTGAGCACATAAGTAGGGGGAGCAAGCTCATAAACTTGATTGGTGCATTTGGATGTGTATTTCATATGTTTACTTGCATGGCACAAGTTTTAAATTTAAAATTCCATACTTGTGTGGTGTATGCTAGTTGTAGGTTTGAATGATGAAATAAAAACTAGCATGCATAGGTTGAGTAACTAGACTTGTGTTTATATTATGAAAACTAGACCCTTACTTCTAATATTGATCTCATGGGGTATTCTAGCTTTTGTGTGCATGTCTAGTTACTAATGATGCTAAGGATGGTATATTGGAGCACTCCGATTGGTATCACGCTTCAAAGGTCTATCTCTTATACCTTAGCATTATTTGGTAGACATTACTCTCCCACAACTCAATTCCATGCATATGTGTAAGCTTTCAATCCAAACTCTAATGCTACCATTTGGGGTTCATAAAACTTGTCCATATCCTTTTACACATGGTAAATATGCTTGGGCAAGCAACATGATTTCAATTGAATTTCAATTCATATCTTTGTGAAAGGGTTGTCACCAATTACCAAAAAGGAAGAGATTGAAAGCTCTAGTTTGGTTTTAGTGAATTGATGAAACCCTAAGTGCTAACCTAGTTTATCAAAGTGATTATGAGATAGGTAGCACTATTCTAAGTGATGGAGTAATGGTGAAGATCATGATGATTGTGGTGACCATGATGATCAAGTGCTTGGACTTGGAAAAGAAGAAAGAGAAAAACAAAAAGCTCAAGGCAAAGGTGAAACTTGATAGGAGCTTTTTTGGTTTGGTGATCAAGATACTTAGCTAGTGTGATCACATTTAGGATCAATAGCCATACTATTAAGAGGGGTGAAACTCGTATCAAAATGTGGTTATCAAAGTGCCACTAGATATTGTAACTCATTACATATGCATTTAGATTGTAGTGAGTGCTAACACCCTTGAAAATGTTTGTGAAAATATGCTAACACACATGCACAAGGTGATGCACTTGGTGGTTGGCACATTTGAGCAAGGATGGAGAAGTTGGTGAAGTCAGGGAGCTCACTGGAGCTGACCGGACGCAGGACCGGATGCTGGACCTGCACGTCTGGTCAGTGTTGGATCGGTGGCGCTGCTTTCGGCCAGTAACCAGACTCTGGCGCGTAATGGGATCGGACGCGCAGGGCTAGGGTCCAGTTATTACTGACGTATGGTGACGTGGCACTGGTGCGTGGCTCGAGTGAAGACCTGACTCTGGGCGAGTTCGGTCGGTGGAGATCGGATGCGTCAGGTCACGAAAAAGTCGCTCGGGGAGCTCTCTGGAAGTGACCGGATGCCACGTTGGTGGCGCGTCCGGTCAGTTCATGGAGTGTCAGGTCACAGGCTTCGCTGCTCGGTTGAGTGTGAGATCGGACGCGACATTGACGCGTCAAGTCGTCGTGGTCGTGTGTCCGGTCATTACTTAAGTAAGGCACAGGCGTAGTTGACCGTTGGAATCTGACGGCGCACATTTGAAGCGAGGACACACGACAGCAGATCAACGATCGGACGCTGAAGGTGGTGCATCCGGTCACTTTGATCGGCACGTCCAGTCGTCCCGAGAAGTGTGCAATGAGGAGCCCAACGGCTCTATTTCGAGGGGGCCTCTATTTAAGCCGTATGGTCGGCTTAAACTCACTTTCTTGGCCATTTGCATTGACATAGCAACCTTGTGAGCTTAGCCAAAGCCCTCGCACTCATCTCCATCATTGATTCATCATCTTTGTGAGATTGGGAGTGAATCTAAGTGCATTGTTTCGCTGCGGGATTCGCTTGTTACTCTTGGTGGTTGCCGCCACCTAGACGGCTTGGTGCAGCGAGGATTGTCGAGTGGAGAAATGTGTTTGTCTCTGGCTCCGATCTTGGTGATTATGAGGGGTTCTTGATCTTTCCCTGACGGAGAGACAAAAGATAATCTAGTGGATTGCTCGTGGCTTGTGTGATCCTCATCTTGTGTTTGTTGTGCGGCACCCTATTGTTGGTTTGGCATGTGACGCCAATTAGCGCGTGAACCTCCAAGTGAGTGAATCGCTACAACGAGGACTAGCTTGCCGGTAAGTAAGTGAATCTCGGTAAAAAATCTTGTGTCATCTTGTTCTAAGGATTTCTTGATTGATTGTGATTGATTGGCTCCATCATATTATGATTGGCTCTATCCTCGATATGGTGGTATAATCATCACATCCTCTCTCTTGTATTTATATTTCTAGTGTTGCTTCGCTTTTTAGTGTAATTAGGTTTGAGAGCAAGCTTGTGTCGGGTCTAGTGGTTAGTGTGTCTCTTTAGTTAGTCTTTGAGAGCACATAACTTAGTGTAGTGACATAACCATTGTGTACTTAGAGATCATAGACACTAGAATTATGGTAGATGGCTTGTATTTTTATAGGTTAGCGCAACACTCGCTTCGTCGTTTAATTGTCTAACATCTTTGCTAAGTGTTGTTGGATAAATTTTTAATAAGGCTATTCACCCTCTCTAACCATCAGCACATTTCAAAAGTTCCTGAATTTAAAATATAAAGTTTGAAATTACAATGTTTTAAATGTGCTAGTATAAAGTTTCTCAATTTTAAAATAAAGTTTAAAATTATGAAGTTTTAAGTCTTCGAGTATAAAGTTTAAATGTGCTAGTAAATAGTTTCTAAATTTAAAATATAAAGTTTTAAATCTTGAAATACAAAGTTTTAAATGTGCTAGTATAAAGTTCCTAAATTTTAAAATAAAGTTTTAAATTACAAAGTTTAAATTTTAAAGTACAAAGTTTTAAATGTGCCACTATAAAGTTTCTGAATTTAAAATGTAAAGTCCGAAATTACAATGTTTTAAACCTTGAAATACAAAGTTTTAAATGTGCTAGTATAAAGTTCCTTAATTTTAAAAATAAAGTTTAAAATTATAAAGTTTTAAGTCTTAGAGTATAAAGTTTTAATGTTCTAATATATAGTTTCTGAATTTAAAATGTAAAGTTTTAAATTTTGAAACACAAAGTTTTAAATGTGCAAGTATAAAGTTTCTGAATTTTAAAAATAAAGTTTTAAATTACAAAATTTAAATCTTAAAGTACAGAGTTTTAAATGGGCCAATATAAAGTTTTTGAATTTAAAATATAAAGTTAGGAATTACAAAGTTTTAAATCTTAAAATACAAAGTTTTAAATGTGCTAGTATAAAGTTCCTTAATTGTAAAAATAAAGTTTGAAATTATAAAGTTTTAGATCTTAGAGTATAAAGTTTAAATGTGCTAGTATATAGTTCCTGATTTGAAAATGTAAAGTTTTAAACCTTGAAATACAAAGTTTTAAATGTGCTAGTATAAAGGTCCTGAATTGTTTTAAAAAATTTGAATTAAAAAGTTTAAATCTTAAAGTATAAAGTTTTAAATGGGCCAATATAAAGTTTCTGAATTAAAAATGCAAAGTTTGAAATTACAAAGTTTAAGATCTTGAAATACAAAAGTTTTAATTTCTAGTATAATGTTTCTGAATTTTAAAGATAATAATGTTTTAAATTACAAAGTTCTAAATTTAAAGTACAAAATTTTAAATGTGTTAATATAAAGTTCTTGAATTTCAAAGTTTGCTCATTAGAAAAGCTTTTTTATTCCGACTAATGATTATATATTAAACATTTTCTCTCACTATTTTTTCAAACTTGATTTGAGCCATTTTGTGTTCTAACTTATTACTTCTACTTATATATATAAGTGAAACTATCCCTTCGCCCTTTCACCACCCACACACCCGTTGTCCCAAAAGAGAAAAATAAATAAGCTCGAGTAAAAAAAATAGCTCGCAAAAAAACTAGATCGAGAAACGAAAATAGTGCACAGGATAAAAGATAACTAGACTTGGGAAGCTAAATGGAAATGGGAAAAAGTTAGACAGGAGAATCGGACTCCAGAAACTATGGGCCGCAACTGACCAATCGGAATCGGTGTCACGTTGCTACTGTGCCGAGCGCGCGTGCGTCGCTAGTCCTCCTGCCGCCCGCGCGCCCAGTAAGAGCGTCGCCGACCGCCCGTTACTCCTTCCCCTTCCATCTTGTGCTGGACCTGGACTCCCCATTTCGTTCCATTTCTCCCCATTCCACACAACTCAAATTACCTCACCTCACCCGGAGCGGCGGCCTCTTCGTCAAGGGCGGCGGCGGCGGTTTCTCGTCTGCGGCTCATCTTCGATGCTGTGAGTTCTTCCTCGCCCTGGTGCTGCTCCTGCTCCTTGTCTCGTCAGATGGGTAGGGGTCCGGCGGACGGGATCTGGTGTTTCGACGGCGCTGTGCTGCTGGATTGGGTGGGTAGGTCAGGTGGGGGTGGATTGGATGGGAATGGGAAACGAGGGAGGGGGTTCTCGTTCGGTTTTGGGGTTGCTTTTCGCCCAGGATTTTTCGCGTCCGTGATGTCTACCGTGCCGGTGGCTCCCTCGTCTCGCCGCTCCCGTCGCCGCCGCCGCCGCCGCCGCCGGGATTCTGATCTCTCCACCTGGGTGGAGGAACGCGGTCGCTGCTTGGTGTTGATTCGTTGCTTGACTACCACCTCCAACTGATGAGGTCAGGCCTCAGGGGCAGGGGCAAATCGCAGCTAATCCGTTTGCCAAGGTGTTTTTCTGCCCAAGCTGACAGTAACAGCAGAAACGCGTCCCAGTTGTGTTGTGCGTTCGGTCACTAACAAAATTAAAAATGCTGTCAATCTGATGATGGATTGATGATTGCTTTTATTTTCTGTTGTTCCTCTGCAGGTTTCGTTTGCCAAGGTTTTGATTCCCAGATGGGGACATCGTCAGGCGCGGACTTCCACCACCAGCAGCAGCAACCGACCCCACAGGGGTTGCCGCCGCCGCGCCCCAACGGCCGAGCGCCGACGCTGCAGATGTCTCTCTCCCTGGGTGGCGCTGCCTCGTCCGAGCAGGTCAGCTCGCCTCCGGACACGCAGGAGCCGTTGTCCAACTCTGATGGTGGGCACGACTCCGCCACCGAGAGCGCCAGCTCGCGGGAGACGTGGCCCGGGGAGCCTGGCAAGAGTGGCGGCGGTCCTCCCATGGCAGCAGCGCCGATAACTGCGCTGAGGGTAGCTGATAGTAAGGAGAAGGAGGTGGTTGGTAATGGCATCACCGAGCTGCAGGCCATCTGGAGTAGGATCCCGAGTGCCGGTCGGGTGACGCTCAGGGAGGTCGCTCGGGAACGGGTGGACCTTCTTGCGGAGAAGATGAAGGGTATGAGTGACGAGCTGCTGGACGAGACCAAGACCGAGTTGCGGTCGATTCTGGAAGGCACTGGCGGCCCGCACCAGATTCAGGAGTTCATGTACCTGCAGAAGCTTGTTCAGGGCAGGGTGGATCTGACCCTGCCCATCCTTTTGATGGCTCACCACGCGCAGCTGGAGATCCTGGTTGCCATCAAGACTGGGATACAGGCGTTCTTGCATCCGAGCGTCGACATACCCCAGAGCCGTCTCGCCGAGATTTTCCTGTACAAGAGGTGCCGCAACATCGCCTGCCAGAGTGTTGTACCTGCTGAGGAGTGCAAGTGTAACATATGCAGCAACAGGAACGGGTTTTGTAATCTCTGCATGTGCGTGATCTGCAATAAGTTTGATTTTGAGGTCAATACGTGCCGCTGGGTTGGGTGTGATATCTGCTCTCACTGGACTCACACGGACTGTGCAATTCGTGATGGACAGATTGGGACTGGGCAGACGATTAAGAACGGCATCGGCCATGCGGAGATGCTTTTCCGGTGCCAGGCCTGCCAGAGGACATCTGAACTGTTCGGATGGGTTAGGGATGTCTTTCAGCAATGTGCACCTGGATGGGACAGGGATGCCTTGCTGCGGGAGCTCGACTATGTTTGCAAGATATTCCGTCTAAGTGAGGACTCAAAAGGGACGAAATTGTTCAGAAAATGTGCTGAGCTAGTTGAAAGATTGAGGAGCGGTTCTGCTGAATCAATGACTCCTAGAATTCTGCTACAAGCACTGCAAGGTACGTGTGGTTTGTTAACCTAACTTGTATGTGACATGGAATGACACACACATAGCTTGCTTGTGGTTCTGCAATTTATCTACTCATTTTTCTGTCTATTCTTATCTATGCGCTGAGTTGAATTGAATTACTTGTGGTGCTTGTTTCCCGCAGCAACTATGGTTGAGATTGTGTACTTTAATTGCTTATAGGTATAAATAGAATGATGCAAAATTGTTACTTTTCAAATACACAGTATGTTGTCCGGAGTCTGGACTTCTTGTTATTTGCTACAAGTTAGTTTGCGTGATAAATTTCAGTTAGTAGTTCATTTCTTCAGTTTCGATTTAATTTCAATAAGTAGTTCTTTTGTTCAGGTTGGAATTAGCTGCATTTTGTACACAGGCATGCATGATGTATTGAAACTATTACCTTTATTGCATCAAATTTTATTATTGATTTCGTGTTCAGTGCTGGAAGATAAAACTGCTTCCCTGAGTGTACATGATTTTTTGGCCGTCCTATTTCATGTTTAGCTCTACACCTTCATTCTTTTTTTTTGGTCGTATTGCACATAAACTTGTGTTGGTTCTTTAGGCAATCTGTATCATTGTAGCCCACACTGTGCTCTGCAATTGTCTGCTTTCCAGCTAGTTTGTAGCTCAGTGCACTGCAGGGCTCTAAAGACAGTAACTTGAATGTTAAATTTCTGAATGCCACAGACAATTGTGCTTTCATCCGCAAACTTGTTTGGATTTACTCAAAACTGTAGCTATTCCACTACATGCACTCTACAGGCACATATGAAGGTATCAAGAGTCTTAAAAGCTTGTTTTTTGACATTCAGGAAGTATGAATGCCTGGCTTGTCTTGTTACTGCCATCCAGCTCATATAATCTCCGTAGCCTGGTTTTAGTTGACAGTTACTTTGAAACAACAATAACATTTAAAGCAGTTGTCTGTTTGCTCTAATGATGATAATTTCCATGGGAACCATTCTCTCACAATCAAAGCATGAGGTGATCAGATGTTACATTTAGAATCACCCCCAAGCAATTCTGGTTGGACATCTTCACCTTGCAGTTGAATAGATTTGTCTGCCATAGTTGCTTTCCAGTCAAGCACTCATGTTAGCAACAATTATAGGGTAAATGTTGTGCATTCATAATTGTCATGTTGTGATTTAGGGCTTCTTTGATAATTTGTTTGGCACCTGCACATTCTGCTACTGTACCCATGATAAATATTCCATGATTGTTCTCCAGGCTGTAATCTCCTGCCTATGTGTTTGTTTTTGGGTAGAGACAACCCTGTTACTCTTTTTCAGTGCACTAGGTTGACTAGCTTGAATAACTGGCCTGTGCTTGCACTATACAAACTAGTTTTTGCCAATTGAAACTGACCTAAAATATGCTATGGGGTGTGCTCATTTATGTTGAATTGGGTTTGTGCCTTTGTGGTTTTGGTGCATCTTCATTTTTAGGCTATTGGGATGGAAAATAATTATTTCTAATGGCAAAGTCGCAAAGATAGTAACTGTGATATTTTTTCCATGTGAATATCATTTTTTTACTAAATTATGTTCAGCATCTCCTGTTTTGTGATTGCTTTTTTCTTTTCTGAATGGTGAATGGAACTCGTTTAATGCCCTCTCGTATTTCCCAGAGCTGGATATTGATTCCTCCAAGAGCTTTGAGAACGAAGAGCCAGGGCGCCTGATCACTCCCCAGGAGGCCTGCAACCGGATCGCGGAGGTCGTCCAGGAAGCCGTCAGAAAGATGGAGATCGTGGCAGAAGAGAAGCTGCGAATGTACAAACGTGCCCGCCTCGCCGTGGAGGCGTGCGACCGGGAGCTGGAGGAGAAGGCGCGGGAAGCCCAGGAGCTGAAGGTGGAGCGTCTGAGGAAGCTGCAGCAGGCGGAGGAGCTGGAGAGCATCATCCGTCTGAAGCAGGCGGAGTCGGAGATGTTCCAGCTGAAGGCGAGCGAGGCCCAGGAGGAGGCGGAGCGGCTGCGGAGCGTCGCGCTGGCGAAGAAGAAGTCGGAGGAGGCGGGCCAGGACCTCGCGAGCTTGTACCTCAAGCGGCGCCTCGAGGAGGCCGAGGCCGAGAAGCAGTTCATCTTCGAGAAGATCAAGCTGCAGGAGAACAACCAGCGCGTGGCGCCGCATCCGCATGCCGCGAGCAGCAGCGGCGGCGGTGGCGTCGGTGTTGGCGTTGGGATGGGGGGCGGGAGCTCTGGCGGCGACCCCTCGCAGGTCATGATGCTGTCCAAGATCCAGGACCTGCTGAAGAACGTCCGCAGCATGCCGTCGGCCAAACCAGACGGGCCGCGGTCCATGTAGCGGTGACGTGGTCTGGGCTGGGCGGGGCGGGCATTGCCGCTCCGTCGGTCTGATGATTGTTTTTTGTTAGACGTGGTTGTTTAACAACTGGAGTAGTAGTAACTAGTAGTAACTTTATATATGATTAATGCTGTATTTTATAAAAATTGACTGTAGGAGCGCAGCATTGTTTAATACTGTAGTGAATTGGTTTCACTGTATGGATTGTATCCTGGTAATTAGAGTGTAACCAACAGCGTAGCTATACAGTTGAAATAAAACAAAAACAACAACAAATTCTTTTAGTCTCAGACAAGTTAGTGTAGACTAGAGTTAAAACCCAACAGAAGCAATTAAGATTCAGGCACGTGAATAGCTGTGTTCCAGACACTCCTATCTAAGGCTAAGTCTTTAAGTATATTTTATCCTTTCAAGCCTTTTTTTATTGTCTCTATCTAAGTCAACTTCGATCTTCCTCTGCCTCTCTTCACGTTACTATCCTGACTTAGGATTCTACTACGCACTGGTGCCTCTGGAAGTCTCCGTTGCACATGTCCAAACCATCTCAACCGGTGTTGGACAAGCTTTTCTTCAATTGGTGCTATCCCTAATCTATCACGTATATCATCGTTCCAAACTCAATTCCTTCTTGTATGATCGCAAATCCAACGCAACATATGCATCTCCGTGACAGTTATCGGTTGAACATGTCGCCTTTTCGTAGGCCAATATTATGCACCATACAACATAGTAGGTCTAATCGCCGTCCTATAAAACTTGCCTTTTAGCTTCTGTGGTACCCTTTTGTCACATAGGACACCAGATGATTGCCGCCACTTCATCCACCCTACTTTGATTCTATGACTAACATCTTCATCAATATCCCCGTCTCTCTGTAGCATCGATCCTAAATATCGAAAGGTATCCTTCCTAGGCACTACTTGACCTTCTAAACTAATATATTCCTCCTCCTGAGTAGTAGTGCCGAAGTCACATATCATATACTCAGTTTTAGTTCTACCGAGTCTAAAACCTTTGGACTCCAAAGTCTCCCGCCATAACTCCAGTTTTTTATTCACTCCTGTTTGGCTTTCATCAACTAGCACTACAACGTCCGCGAAAAGCATACACCAAGGGATGTCTCCTTGTATGTCCCTTGTGACCTCATCCATCACTAAGGCAAACAAATAAGGGCTCAAAGCTGACCCTTGATGTAGTCCTATCCAAATCGGAAAGTCATTCGTGTCTCCATCACTTGTTCGAACTCTAGTCACAACATTATTGTACATGCCCTTAATGAGCCCGACGTACTTCGTTGGAACTTTATGTTTGTCCAAAGCCCACCACATAACATTTCTTGGTATTTTATCATAAGGCTTTTTCAAGTCAATAAAAACCATGTGTAGATCCTTCTTCTTTCTATACCGCTCCATAACTTGTCTTGTTAAGAAAATGGCTTCCATGGTTGACCTTCCGGGCATGAAACCAAATTGGTTCATAGAGACCCGCATTATTGCTCTCAAGCGATGTTCGATAACTCTCTCCCATAGCTTCGTAGTATGGCTCATCAACTTAATTCCCCGGAAATTAGTACAACTTTGAATATCCCCTTTATTCTTGTAGATCGGTACCAATATACTTCTCCACTCATCAGGCATCTTGTTCGATCGAAAAATATGGTTGAACAACTTGGTTAGCCATACTATAGCTATGTCCCCGAGGCATCTCCACACTTCGATTGGGATACCATTCGGTCCCATCGTCTTATCTCCTTTCATCCTTTTCAACGCCTCTCTGACCTCAGATTCTTGGATTCTCCGCACAAAGTGTCTATTTGTGTCATCAAAAGAGTCATCCAACTGAAAAGTTGTGTCCATATTCTCACCATTGAATAATTTATCAAAATACTCTTGCCATCGATGTCGGATCTCATCCTCCATCACCAAGAGATGCTCCCTTTTATCCTTAATGCACTTAACTTGGTTGAAGTCCCCTGTCTTTCTCTCTCGAACCCTAGCCATCCTATAAATGTCCTTCTCTCCTTCCTTCGTACTTAAATGTTGGTAAAGATCCTCGTACGCTCTATCCTTTGCCACACTTACAGCTCGTTTTGCAGTCTTTTTTGCCACCTTGTACTTCTCTATGTTGTCCACACTCCTGTCATGATACAAGCGTCTATAACATTCTTTCTTCTCCTTAATAGCCCTTTGGACTTCCTCGTTCCACCACCAAGTATCTTTAGCCTCGCCTCCACTTTCTTTGGTTACTCTACACACCTCTGAGGGCACCTTCCAAATGTTGGTTGCCATCCTTCTCCCACATGTTGTTTATGTCCTCTTCTTCCTTCTAAGAGTCCTCTTTGATAACCCTTTCCCTGAATACCTCTGACGTCTTCCCTTTTAGTTTCCACCACTTTGTTCTTTCAATCTTAGCGTGTTTATCCCTACGGGCACACACCTGAAAACGAAAGTCTGCCACCAAATGTTTATGTTCAGAAACAACACACTCCCCTGGTATCACCTTGCAACCTAAGCATTCTTGTTTGTCCTTTCTTCTTGCGAGGACAAAGTCAATCTGGCTAAAGTGTTGTCCACTACTGAAGGTCACTAGATGAGACTCTCTCTTTCTAAAGAAGGTGTTGGCTATCATCAGATCAAAAGCTATCGTAAAGTCCAGAACTTCCTTCCCCTCCTGATTCCTACTACCATACAAAAAACCTCCATGAACTGCCTCGAAACCTATGCTTGTAGTACCTATATGCCCATTAAGATCTCCTCCTATAAAAAGCTTCTTACTACTAGCTACAGCTCTAACCAGGCCATCTAAGTCTTCCCATAACTGTCTCTTAGCACTCTCGTCGAGACCTACTTGGAGGGCATATGCACTAGTTACCTTCAAGACCATATCACCAACGCCAAGCTTAACTAAGATAATCCTATCTCCTTGCCTTCTCACTCCCACTACACCATTCTTAAGGCTCTTATCAATCAAAACTCCTACTCCATTTCTATTCACGACTGTCCATGTGTACCAACGCTTGAAACATGTATTGTCCACCTCCTTCGCCTTCTGACCATTCCATTTATTCTCTTGAACGTATAATATATTTACACGCCTCCTAGTCACGGTATCAACTAATTCTCTTAACTTACCTGTAAGCGACCCTATATTTCAACTACCTAAAAGGATCCTAGTTGGTTCGACTAGCTTCCTTACCCTTCACACCCGTCGACTCAGATGTGAAGACCCTTGCTCATTTTTTACTACACCCGGGCGCCGATGTAGCGCGTCACTAAGAAAGCGACGACCCGATCCTTGCTCACTTGACACCATGCCCAGATCACGACACGGCGCGTCACGGGGGTGATGACCTGGCCCTTGCCTATTTAACACCATACCCGGGTTCCGATATGGCACGTCGCTAAGAGGGTTACGTCCCAACGATTTTTTTTGGGTTTCATCTCCATTAAAGTGGCTAAGTTTTTACATTGGCTCGCCACGCCTAACACAACTTTCTTTCTTTATCGAGGCTTGAGACCTGCTATGCTGGGACACAAAGGTGCCCCATCATAGGCGGAGTCCGTAGCTATACAGTTGAAATGTTTTTTTTATCTATTCAAGTGTTGCAGTCGATGTACGTAACATTGGTCTCGTTAGGATTGTCTGAACGGATGCGGAAGCCACGGCATTGAATCTTGTTGAAGCCAAAGGTCATGGTAAGCCGACGAGAGTGTAACACTTAACACAGCGCACGCTACGGCACGTGAACGGTGACGTGGTCGCCCCCTCACGTTCGTTGGCGCCGTGACACCGTACCGTAGCCGACGGGGTCGAGTCGCGGGCGGGGAACAAGTCGTCGTGCAGGCGGAGACGGGGTGCGGGATGCGGGGTGCCCGACCGGCCTGGGACTGGGACCCACACAGACACAGGAGGCCAGGTCAAACCCCCGCGTGCGCCGATCCTTCACGCGCACGGATCTGGAGGTGGCGCCGACGGCCCTGGTCCGTCCGGGCCCACGGAACCAGACGGAGACGGCCTCCCCTGCGCGGGCGCGGCCCACGGTTTCATTTCACGCAAAGGCAGGCAGATCTTTCCTATAAAGCACCCTCGCCTTGCCCGAATCCGGGCACACATCCCTGATCCCTCTCTCTCTGCTCCTGCCTGCGTGCTGCTCCCCCCACCGCCAGCGCCACCGCTGTGCAGGCTCGGTCCGGCGACCTCACTCACCGGCGGGAACATGGTAAGCGACTCCAAACCACTCTCCTCCGCCGTGGATTTGTGCGTTTGTCGTCCTCCTCCTGGGTCGGAATTGGTTGGGAGATCCTGGATCGAGCCCAGATCTCTCTCTCTCTCTGTGCGCGGCGGGATAGGTAGATAAGATAGACAGGGGATCTCGCCTTTCTCGCCTGCCTATTGGTGGTACGGTCGATCCCCTCGCCTCGTCGACCCTTGTGGGGTCTTTCCTCCTGGGTTGATCCACGGGCCACTAGGACGCCACCCGCTTCTGCTGCTTCCTTCGGATCTAGATCACCTGCGGCCTCGCGCCCGCCAAATGTGCCCACGGATCGCGAGATCGGATGGGTGCTTTTGGTTCCTAGCAGATGGGTCGTTGGGAATGGAATTGCTCAATAGCCTTTCGCCTCTCGCGTTCCAGTGCCCAGATGCGCAGAGGCGGGCCTGAACCTGTGCCATGCCATCCAGATCCAGATCCAGATCCAGATTCTGGGCGATTCGTTTGTTTATCCGCGCTAGCTATGGCTTGAGTTAGGAAAGTTGAGATTTTTTTTGGCAGGGGATTTCAGTCTTGGCGACGGAATCATGGCAAACATAAGAAAGACATGCTGGCATGTTGTAGGACTAGGACGAATCATCATTGATTCCATCTGAACATGAATGGATACAAACGGTGTAGGATTTCAGAGGCATTGTCCATGTTGGGTTTCAGTGACCCTTTTTGAAGTTTGCAGCTTCCTGGTCTACCATTCTTGGTATATGTGGGGGCGAAGGATGCACCTTTGCAAAATTCAGGGTGGCAATGATTTTAAGTAATAAAGACTGGAAATGATAGTTGGTGGTTGTTGAACTGCCCTCATCTGATTTAGGATGTCTACCAGCTTGTTGTAATTTAGAGATGGAAATGCTTCATATTACCCGCTTTTTGCATAATGGCTCATTGTTTAGATTGGGAATAGAAAATTAGAAACAATCGAACAAGAGAGCTTTATTCCTTTGGTCGAGGTGGACTACACCACAAGAATTGTAGACCCATTTCTTTTACTGGACTGGAAATGGCATATTGGCATATGGTTCAGAAAACTGAACCTTTGTGTGTTCCTCTCATCTAATACTACTTGAAATGGCCGAGACGACAGTATTTTTTTTTCATTAAACCTCATCTGGTGACTGCTTTGAACCTGAAAACTACTGCTATGTTTGCTCATTGCTTGACACTGTGTTAAGTATCTATCAGATTGACTAAGTATTCATATATGCTGATTTGTGGCTTTTTTGTTTGGACAGACTACTTCAAGGCGCCTTGCTGACAGGAAGACTGCAAAGTTCCAGAAGAACATCACCAGGAGGGGTTCGGTGCCTGAAACCACTGTCAAGAAGGGAAATGACTACCCTGTTGGCCCTATAGTTCTCGGGTTCTTCATCTTTGTCGTCATTGGATCATGTATGCCTTCCAACCCTCTCAAAATCTTTTAATACTCTTTTGTTTTATGCTTGTGATATGCTACTTTAGAATGCACATTGCACGTCTTTTTTCTTTAAGAATATGTATATGGTTCATCCAGAAGTTTAGCTTCTATCCTTCATGGCCATGACTATAAACTCTTGTTTGTATCCATAGTATCTTAAACATTCTAAACAGCAAATTGTCCATGTAAGTCCTGATTTGATACTTGTTATGCTTTGGCATTACCCAAGAGCCATTGGCTGTTACAGTTCTTTATGTTAGTGTTAGGATACAACTGCACAATTTTAAACCCTGTACTTGAATGGTTTTTAAAATAGGGTATAATTTTTTTGTTCAATCAAGTATGTATTGCAAATACGATTTGTCAGCAGTAAGTGATAAGAAGGGAGCTACAATAGTGCCGAGAGGTCAACCTGTAAATCTAAAACTGGACATGTATTTAATTTGATGCCAGATTTCCAACTACAAGTCTCAAACCTAAAACAGCTCACACAGCATAATCTAATTCAACTGTTGCATGGTTGTGCTTGTCCTTGTGCCATTTTTGCGATTACCCATCTGATCCCTATAGTTTATTTACCGTTAGAGATGAATTAACATGCTTTGCCCCTTCTATCTTTGCAGCGTTGTTTCAGATAATCAGGACGGCAACCAGCGGCGGGATGGCTTAAGAGCCGCCCCACATCTAATCCCCAGTCTAGAGATCTGTTTATTATACATGCATCCAACTAGAATATTGGGCAGCAGCTAAAATGTTCAATGTGTCACAGGGCCCTGTATTCCATTCATCTGGTGATCCTTGAGTCTTGAACTGAACTTTAAAGCAGATTCATATACCTTATATATCTTTATATAAAGTGATAATTGGCTAGTACTACCGTGTTTCATTTAATCTCTCCCTGGTTTTGGATTTTTTTTTTGTGTGATGCTAAGATATTATGCCTCTGCCAATTCTGTTCACCTGTGTTGGCTTGTGACAATTGAAGTTTCAGTAGCTGAACTTGGGTGCCCCCAACAGAACCCTTGTCATCCAGTCGCAGTCTTGTGTGATTTAGCTAGGCTCTTCTGAACTGATGGGTCATGTGCTTGGATAATCAGGTTTCATTCTGTCTTTGATGATATCGTGTATTCAGAAAAATCCGACATAGACTGTCAGTAAGAACAGGAACTACTAGTAGCTCTCACCTGTCTCTAGGGCCTGTTCGGCTGGTAGATTCTAGTCTCAAGACTTTGACCGGAGGAAATATGGTACTACCACTACCAGTGGCTGGCCTCCTGCTCGTCTGAATGCTGAGCCTGAATTTGCCATCTTCGTCAAGACTGCAGATTGTGGGCTGAGGGTGCCTGGCTGCCAGCTCCGCAAGTAGTGGTATTCATTTGACGCTGTGAGAAGTAGTTATGATACCACAAGGTGACACCGTGCTGACTGGAAGACTAAGTTCCAGAAGCAAGATGCCAGTATGCCACGAGGGGTTCGATGCCTGAAACTATGTTCTTCAAATCTTTCTTCCTATTCTTGTGTTGTGTTTCGTTCAAATGCGAACCTGTTATTTGCCTTTATATGCTCTCAAGACAATTTTTGGCTATGGCCTCCCTTCAAAAGTAGGTACACGGAAGCAATCTTTTCTTAGCATATATAGTTATATATACATGCCGATTTTACAAAGGGCTGTACTAGCGTCCTGACGGCCGTGGCTGCTGCACGCCCATGACACTGCGCTTCCCCCTCTGCTTCCTGCACCCGTTGTCGCGCAGCGCTCCATCCCTTCGCTTCTTGCATGTATGCACGGCGCCCTAGCAGCTATAGCAGGCGGTTGTGGCAAGTGAGTCACATTACAACATGTACAACACCCGATCTATTTTTAAAACATCCAGATTAAACATTTGCAACACGCGTTTGAAGATAAATGAAACATTTGAAACATACGTCCGAAACACTTGCAAAAACACCTAAAAACACTTGAAAAAAAGGCATTGCAAAACATATACAACATCTAAATAAAAACACTTGTAATATATGTGTGAAACATATGCAACATCCTAATAAAAACACTTGCAACATATGTCTGAAAAACAGATGAAACATTGGGAACAGACGTTTGCAACATACGTGTACAACCATTGCAACATATACAACATCCGGATCTACTTTTGCAACATCCATCTAAACACTTGTAAAATACCAACACTTGAAACAAATATTTGCAACATGCGGTTTCAGCACAACATCTCCTTGCTACTTAGGAGAATTGCTACTTAGGAGAATGTAGGATCGTCGGCGTGTGGAGTTCACATGTAGAGCTTTTCGGTAGCGCGGAGATCACCGCTCCGATGGAGAAGGCTGCGGCGGGTCACTTTGGTGGAGAGAGAAAGTGGACCGAGGGAAGGCCTATAGGCCACCGCTTAAATTGCCACAGACAAATTATTTTAGCCACCACCGAAAGGGACGAAAGTCGAGCGATCGCAGCGACAAAAATTATGCGAAATAGAAAACTTTTGCTGCACTGACGACGACGATGAGGCGGCGTATATAGAGGAGGAAGGCGGGCACAGTGGAGAGGAATGATGGTGGTCGGCCGGGCCGGTGGAGAGTGCCGTGGTGGAGCACGGCGGCGATTTTAGAGTGGGTTCGAGAATGGGTCCAGGAGTGCTGATGATTTGAGAGGAAAGTGAATAGCGGAGTTTTTTTTTTTTAAGCAACGAGATGGCGTCCGGGCGAGTGGCAGTGTTGGGCCGTTCGGACAGTGTCGAGGCCCACTAACGCAAAAGCGTCCGGATGGCCGGACACCCTACCTACAGTGTTTCCGATTTTGAAACTGGAACATATTTGAAGATGCAATGGAAGAGGGAGAAGAATCAATGCATATCATATCTTTGCATCGATTCATCGGCTGCCATCGATAATTGAAAATTGTTAATCCGTCCGTCGGCTTGTGGTGTTGCTGCAGCGTGCGTCGTGGGCCGGCACTTGCATGCGGCCGAGGACGGTAAGTCAAGCCCATGGTTCGGCCGATTTGGTGGCTGATTCACCAAGCTGCTCTAGTATTTGTCTCGGTATAAGCTCTATACAAAAACAGCTCTGTTTTTCAATGGGCGTTTGGCATGTCTCCTTGAAGAAGTTAGAGTTCCCTGCCAAACGAGGCTTAAGAACCTGTTTATAGCCTAACTTCTTGTGGCTTTGGGTCCTCTTGCACCGGCAACTGTAGCAACACAGTCTATATAAGTCGATTTTATCTTCTCACAAAATGAACTAGAAGCATGAAAATACCATGTTTGTGGCTCCTCTGACTCCAATGATGTAGCATAGAGCTGAAGCTAGAAGCAGTCCGGACAAACGTCAACTAAAAATGTCTGTTTTCTTCTCCAAGTGCTGGAGTTAAGCTATCGGGAGCCCTTATTTTGATAAACAAGATATTGGGAGTAGGCAGCGCGCGTCTGTGCAAAGAATGGAAATAGAGGGATGCGAATGTGATTGATGTACTTGAACAATTAATGACTAAAAATGCCTGTTTTCTTCTCCAAGTTTTCTAATCAATGAGAGGGCGAAAGCGCAGACGCTTAGTGCACTCCCTGTCTAGATAGGAACCGTCATTATATTATTAGGGATAAACCTGAAACTGACTATTACTTTTACTTATAAGATGTCATTATCAGTTCACTTCAAAGTTGGCAAAACTATAAATTGTTCCACTAGACAAATTATTTTAGAACTACTCCATCTGCCCAAATTATAAGTCATTCTAATTTTTTTGAGAGTCAAAGCATCGTCCCAAGTTTGATCAGAATTACAGAGAGAATTACAAAAACTTTTGACATCAAATAGGTATACTACGAAAATATATAATTAATGAAGAATCTAACCACTACAAGAAATATGTGGCTTTTTGACGTATTTAGTATGACAACAGGTCATAATGTTATTATATCATGTTTTAGGCACTTCGACTTAGTGACAATAAACCATTGTATGTCACAAAAAACGTCATACAACTAGTCCAATTCCATCCAGTGACGATTTTTGCTATGTCAATGAGGCATTTTCTGTGTCACAAAGGCTAATTTACAAATGCCATCAACCTATGATAGAGTTTGTGCATCACGAAATAATTTATTGATTTGTTTAAACATTGTTCTCCATGTTGGCATGTTCAACAACCTCGTGGTCGGGTTGGTCCATATAACTTTTTAATTTCATTGTTTTCCAACACATTTCATCCCATGTGTTATATATATTTCATGTCTGACTTTGTTAAATGTGGTGCTTTATTTTATATATGCCTAATCACTACAACAAGAAAAAAAATGCATCCGTGGGTGTAAAGTGCACTATACCGCATTCTAAAACTAGCATTAGAGGGTGTCCCTAAAAATACCAAAACACATGATGGAGGGATGGTCATTTAAAATGTATAGTCGGTCAAAATAAAAAATGTATACATGTGTTGTTTAATAAAATAATAAATAAAGAAACATTGAGTGTTTTTTTATCATGCGTGTAATTGTTTGTTTCTAAACTCAATTTGATAGGTTTGTGATGTGAAGAGGATACACAGGAAAGGGAAGTGGAGAGATAAAAATTAATAGAGATATACATTGATATATATACATTTATTTTAAAAAAGAAGAAAATAAAATAAAAAGAAAATAAATTAAAACACACACGCACCACCCACCCAACCCAGGACTCCCCCCGCGCCCTCTCCAGAAAGCCTCGGCCCACTTCGAGCAACCCACCCAACCCACGCGACCCTGGACCTCTCCTGCAGGCCTCGGGCCCCCTTCAGGCCAGGCAGCAAAGCCAGCCGCAGCCCACACTCTGTCCTTCCTTTTTTTTTTTGGAACCACTCCGTCCTTCCATTACACACGCGCCAGCCCAAGTGGAAGCCTGCTTTTGATATCATAAATGCTATTATTTTATTATATAAATTTAATTAAATTTAAAATACTTAGACTCTTAAAAAAATTAAAATAACTTATAATTTAGGACGAATATGATATATCTTTTGGG